AACGGCCGTGAAGGCGTCAAGCAGGTACTGGTCAACGGTCAGCAGTGAGCAGAGGGGCCGAGACGAATGTTCCGGCTACTTACAACAGACGTGAAGACCGTCTTGACGGCCCTTGGGTATTTGTGAGGATGACGCATGTCCCTATAAATCTTGTCGGAAAGTCAGCAAACCGTGTGAACTCACTGAGACGGATGAATACTCACATTGGGGAATACACTGTGACCACCCCACGGGCTCATCAACAAGCCGAAACTCAGGGGTAGTGTGCCCCAGTTCGCAGGGAACAGGTAGGTCGTGGCCGGCTCGATGAGAGAGCCCGGAGTTGAGGGCTTAATGAGTCCATCGACCACCAAAATCAAGACGACTGGAAATGCGTATCAGCAATCAGAGCTTGGCGCGGAGGAGAAAAGGGGTAACTCACTGCTGAAACAACACACAATGCCAATGACGCTGGTAAAACTCAAGAGGCGCAGCGGGAGGAAGTTGAGGGGGATCATGATAATCGAACACAGAAGCTTCCACGTGTTGACGCTCAGGAAACCCGGGAATAATAGCGTCAAAGAATCGGCAAACAGGACAATCAGAGCGACACAGGCAGCCAGCAACTCGAGGGTGAAGAGGATACTGGTGGCAATACGCGCATTGCGACCGTAGGAGATATAGGCCAGGTCGGAGAATGTGATGAGGCTGGCGTCGAGATCCATGCACTTGGCCAGAAGCTTGGCCGTGTATGCTGTCACGGCCGCAGAGCCTGCCAAGACGACCATGCCGCAAATCCAACCTGCGTACTTAATACCCATGGGCAAACTCAAAAGACCAACACCGATCAGGACACTGCGCTGCAGGTTAGATTTGCCTAGTCTTTCAACGCGCGCCAAATGGGGCTGCTACTCACTTGATCGAGTTGAAAATGGTTTGGGGTAGCGTGGACTGTCCCTCCACAGTCAAGATAATCTTTCCGTCTTGTTCGACCTCCTTCACGAGAATGGGCATGTTCTCACCGTCAGGCACATTGCCCCCTGCCTCTTGCTGTTGGCGCCAGAGCTCGCCGGCCTGGGCCATTGACGGCTCATCGACATCTGCTATTGTTCCATACGTCCTGTACGAGCTGAAACTTCCAACCAGCGGCGGGGTCGCCAGGTGAGGCGGAACCGCGAAGATGGACTGCGACGGTCGGCGACCACTGCCAAAGCTGGAGCCGCGGAAGGTCCCAGACAGCTCTGCCTCGACTGCCTTGCGCTCGCGGTCGCGGAAATCGGTTTGCACGGCGCTTTCGTCCGCGCCAGAGGGGGAAGAGCCATTCTGGTAGGATGTGCTTGGTGCCGCCTCGGGGGTGGCCTCGAGATGCTGCCTCAGCAGTGAGGTCCTCGGGTGGGAGCCGGACTCGACATGGCTGCGAGAGTAGTCGAGGCCATCGGTGGATGACGAGGCAATCGGGACCTGGTCAGGCGCGAAAACAAAGGACGGCCGTTGAGGAATGACCTCGGCAAAGCCTGCGGCACGCGCCCAACTGCGCGTGAAGGAGCGGATACTGTTGACGCCACCAATATCTGTGATGGCGGCAAGGTGCCGCGTTACTGAAGATCTGTAGGAGGGGTTGGTTAGCGGGGTGAATTGAGGGCATCATGCGCCGAGTAGCAGTGTCCGAGACAGTGGCAGCAAGCTGACGTCAATACTTGCTCGGCCTGGGTAAGAGAGAATAACCTTCTGCGACGGAGTCCGTGAGAACTGCTGCCGTAGTCACCCTCGTCATCTTCTCCTAGGAGCGACTGGTCCTCAGCTACGGCATTGGAGTCGATACTCACGGAGCGCTGGGGTGAGGCGCCCCGTTCGTATTCGTCCCAAGTGGACGGGTTTCTCGAGGGCATGGGGAAAAGCTCGTGGTTTCCAGCAACAACAAAGGTTGGTTCAAGTCGTTCCCACGGCGTCCCTGTTAGAACGACGATTTGACTGCAAAAAAACGGTCGCGACAGTAAGAGAGGAAAAAAGAGAGCAAAGAGGAGGGAGAGGGAAGAAGGGGAAAAAAAAATCTGAAGTCGACTCTTGGGCAGGGTAGACGGTCGCGACTGGGCTATTGTTCGCGCGGGCGTTTTTGAGCCTTGGAGGTGGTATAGAAACCTGGTCGGGACGGAGTAGTAGCACACGGCGTGAGCGCGGCACCTTACTGAGTACGTAGGGGATTTAGTACCTAGGAGCAGCATGTATCGAAAAGGCCGTGTATCGATAAAAGGCAAATGTGCCTTTTCCTCTTACGCACCCCAAGCCAAAGTAAGCAAAGGCTGCAAAGCAAAACCAAGGCACCCCTACTAAGGCCGGCTCCAAGTGGAGTCGTAGCGGGAGATGAGATGGGTTGCTAGTGCAGTGGGTTGTCGGAAGCCCAGGTTGGGTCTTGTCGCAAGTGTCTGCTGAGGTCCGACTGGGTTTTTTCTTTCCTGTCTGGCTCCAGTCTCCACGTCCAAGTGGATAGGAGGGCGGAACGACAGAGATAACAGCGGTTGGTGGCAGTGATCACTGATTGTTACGTTGTGGCGTTAGGAAGAAGTTTTGAACTTTTTTCCCACATCATGACCCAAGAGTTGAGGAAGTCGAATGGGTGTTAGCGTACACTACCTTTATGTACCTATGTGGTGGTGGTCGTCGTGTGCCATGGGTTACGAGTAAGGAGGGAATTAGACGAGAGGGAAAGCTGGAGAACAAACTGAAAGGAGGACGAAGGCGAAGTTGAGCTGTAAATGTTGGAAAGCCAAGGAAGGAACTTCTCTGCTTCTTAATCCAGTTGGACCACCACCGTCCACGATCCCCAAGTCACAAAAAGTCAATGCTTCTTTTTGCCTCTTTTCCCCTCCCTCTTACTTTTCAGATGGTTCAGATGAAGAGGTAAACCGTTGCTTGACACCCCCCAAGGTACCCAACTATCTAGTGTAGGTAGCTATGGCATTGGCATCTTGGAGACACACTGACACAGATCACCATCTAATTCTTAGGTAAGGTAAGGTAAGATGGGGTTCGAGGTGGGCTATCGCCGGCGATATCTGCAGATATGTCATTGGATGACTTGCATTACGGAATCCGAGAACGCAACCCGAGACTGCGACGGCGACGAATAGCAGTCAAGAGATGGTTCGATGCGAGAGCAGAAGGAGAGGATCGAGAGGGGTACCTCTGCCGAGAAGCGGACGCAGACCTGACGGGAGGGTGAAGCATCAACCGGCAACGAGGGCAACAGGGAAAACGTAGGGGCAAGAAAGGATGAAAATTGGAAGCAAACTCTTAGTAAGTCAGCTGGACGTCCAACCTTTGATTTTCATGACGCCGCCTGCATCGTCAAAAGTTGGTCGGCTTATCGCGCCGGCGTCTCTGGTTGGACAATGGCAAGGAATGGAATGGCGCTCGCGCTGTACGTCTGCTGCAAGTGGCAGGGCCTGTTGCAGGGCATTTGCAGGCACTGCAGGGCCTTTGCAGCGGCCAGAACCTGCAAACCTTCAAACTTGAACCAACCCCGGCTCCGCCCTCTCCACCAACTACAACCCACCCCTCGACCCTCCCGGGTTGCTGTGCCGGCCAGCCTGCTTCTCGCCTCTGCGCCTCTCTTAACCGTGCCGTCCCAAGGTATCACAGCACGATACTAGGTAATAGGTGCCAGACGTCTGCAGTACGTAATGTCGTGCGGCAAGTCTTTCGACATCATCTGCCACTGTCTCTTTTTTTTTTCTTCTTTTTATTCCCTGCCTCCACATGTCTTTGCCTACTTACGGGACGATTGTGGAGTCTTGTCATCAAACGGCTGAAGGGCCTTTTCTTTAGCTAAGGAAGTTATCAATATTCCAAGTACCTATCCGTTCAGACTCGCAGAGTAAGGTGACGCGATACTCAGCGGCCGCCGGGTCGAAAACCTCGGATATTGATGGTTTCTATCCGTCCCTTCAAGATAACCGCCCGAGTCCCCCGCCCAGATCTCTCCGCATGCCACCTTGTTACTCACCGCTATTTGCATACTTTTCCCCCGAAAAGGACCACATGACATGTCATCCAAATGCCTTCCTGAGACAGGTTCATGCATGGAGGTTCAGATGCAAATGATGCCATCACCACCCCGCCAAGTAGCTAGATTAGTACGGTAGTAGACTTCGCAACCTATACTTTCCAAAAGTCAAAGTAAGAATCCTGGCAACTAATCATCTGCCGCCGAGCCTCTCTTATTTACCGCAGTACTCCAGATGCTCGAGCCACAATACACATGTTTACGAAAAAATCTCGAAATTTCCAAGATCCCATGACCCTTTTTTCTCTCTGTGACAAGTCAGCGCAGACCAGATCGTGTAACCTCCCTCAGGGCCTCGGACGAATTTACGATGCACTGACACTGTTCCCCTTTCTTTGTTCTCCCTCTAGCTCTTCACGATTACGCCGTTACTCGAGACTTTGCCCTACGTTACAGGGTAGATGTCTTTAGGGATTAGTACATGTGGTAGCGTACCTTGACTGACTCTCTCTACTGCGCCAGCCGCTGGTCTTGTCCCACGTAGCATGCGGCTCAAGCACGCACTCTAGCTGTATCTCTCTGATGAGGGCGAGGGAATATGCCGAAGAAGGAAAGGGAGAATGTGACGGTGAAAAGTGTTTTCTCATGATGAGTGATCGGTACAGACTAAAACGGGTACAATTAACCTTCGCTACGTTACTCGAGGCTAACCGCGCTCCGATCCGAACCAAATCGATCAACATCCGGTCCGTCGTTGCTTCTTTTCCAGCTCAGTGCACGGTCCCTCTTTTCATACAGACAATTCCACACCTCTCACTCTCACCTCACTGCATGGAAGTTTGCGACCTAGGCATGCTATGGTACTTTGTATATCAAACTTTTAGATTCGCGCGCATCACGCCCTACGGCAGCCCACCCACGCCTCACATCTCGAATTTCGTTTAGACTTTCTTGATTTCATCTTGACGTGCTCAAAAGACATCGCTGGCGCGCCAACCAAAAAGGCGCATCTCATAACATGAAAACAACCGCCACCAACACAACCGCCGCAACAACAGCACCAGCACCATCATCGCCAGACGAAACAACCCCAATCGCAACCCTAGTCCCCGTCCTCACCATCCTCGACAGCTTCAACCACCGCAACAAGAACCAGCACCGCGTAGCCCGCTGGTGGTCCGCCTTTGACCGCCTCCGCCGCGCCGTCCGCCGCCTGCACGACGCCCTCGAAGCCCAAGCCCGTCACCGCCGCGCCCTTAGCTTCAAGTCCTCCTCCTCCTCGTTGAAGAAAAGGTCTAGCAGCAGCAGCGGCGGCAGCAGCAAACCCATCGTCAGCAGCGCCGAACGTCGTCAGAATGCGTTGGATGAAGACGTCGCCGCCAGGGTGCGGATGCTGCTCGATTCCACCATCCCCTCGTCCTTCTCGTAAGTTTCCACTTGATATGCCTCCCATTTTGAGGTATACTCGAACCCATATTGACACCAAGGAAACGGCAGAGCCTTTACACAACTAGCAGCAGACAACCAACACGCCGCTCTGGGCCTGGTACTCCTAGGTCTCTTAGCACGCATCAACTCGGTCGTCACACTCCTGGCACCTGCACCTGCACCTACTCCTGCTCCTGCTCTTCGGTCCGAAAAGGCCACCCCAGCAAGCGAGTTCACTCCTACCTTTTCATCATCATCGACGAGCAAAATTGATGCAGCAGTCGCCGTAGCAGATGAGAGACGGCAGCAACAATCCGATTCAAAGGGTCTCGGCGTGGCCATCTCTCGGGACCAGCTCAAGCTAGCTGCGAAACCTTTAGATCACCACCACTCATCATCATCGTCACGGAATGCTGATGAGTCGCCAGCTGCTATCCCTCCAAAGAAGCGCAAGTTGACGACTGGCCCTCCTCTCGAGACCAAAGCTAGCAAGCCAGCAAAGGAGGACAAGCTAGTCAAGAAGAAGAAGAAGTCAAAAAAGACGGACGACTTTGGGGATTTGTTCAGTTCCCTCATGTAGACATTCACAGAACAAAGATTCCCCAATAACACTTAACAACACATCATATAAACGACAGTCATATAAAGTTTCAAATCTTTCATTAGCGACGGCTATTTGCTACGAGATTCCGACGTGTCCCTGCCTGTACGCCCCCTACCGGCCTATGCATCTCTCTTTGAGAATATTCCAAGACATAGACAGGGACAACCTGTTCCACCGCAAACGAAACCCTCCCTAGTAACAGAGCAACCCAACCTCTTCTCTTTGACATCCGCTGTTTGGTATACATATCTGGCCACTAAACAAGCCTTCGCCAAGAAATATCAACTTTACCTCAGATACATGTATTCGGGCCATGACGGAGCGACAGGTTCCTACTGGACGCTTCGGTAAGACCAGATACGCGCCCGCATGTCACCGGAGCCGGTAGCGAAGTAGCCGCCCGTTGGGCTAGGCGCAACTGAAATAACCGAGTTCTTGTGTCCCTGGAGCATCAACTGCGTAGCGCCAGTGCGGGGGTCCCAGAACTGCACGCCACGGTCTTTGGATCCAGACATGACCCAAGCGGCGTCGGGGGTAAGCGCGACGGAGAGAACAAAGTCCTAAATGTGTGAGCCAATCTAATTATCAACTTTGTAGGCAAGCCACTTACCCTGTGACCCTCGAAAGTCTTGACGCAACGGCCGCCCTTAGGTCCGGGGTTAGGCAAGCCGCGAGGCGTGCTAAGCTCCCACATCTTGATCGTCTTATCCAAACTGCCACTGACGAGGTCTCTGCCATTGGGAGAGAAGGCAACACTGTAGACGCTGTCCTTGTGGCCATCGGGACCTTCCAGACGCTCGAGCAGGTAGCCCTGGTGAATGTCCCAAACGCGGACGCTCTTGTCGAGGGAACCAGCGGCAACGTACTTGGTATCGGGAGAGATGGCAACAGTGGTAACACCATCCTCGATAGTCAAGGTGAGAGTATTGGTGCCCTGCTCGATATCCCAGAGACGGACGGTTCTGTCTCCACTGCCAGATGCAATCGTGCGACCGTCGCGGGCGAAGTCGAGCGAGTAGATGTCTTGCTCGTGACCGGAGAAGGTGTTGCGAATCGTTCTAGACTGGATGTCCCAAACCTAAGAAAGAAAACAAAGTTAGTTTGCCCTGTACCCATATGTCTCTTCAGCCAAAACTTACTCTGATCAATTTGTCCTCGGCACCGGTAGCGAGGTACTTGCCATCGGGACTGAAGCAAACGCTACGAATGTACAGATCGCCAGTGATATCCACAGTGTCATCCTGAAGGACACAGAGCTTCTCGCCAGACTGAACGTCGTAAATCTGAGCGGAACGGTTGCAGCCAGTGGCTACGTACTTGCCGTCGTGGCTGAAGCGCACGCAGCAGACTACACTCTCGTGTGCGAGAGTGTGGACAAGATCGACATCCAACATGCGAGGCACGTGTTGATTGAAGATGACGAACCAGTCGTGACCCGATTTCTTTGAGTGAGGCGGCAGGCGATCAGGGTCAAGATCGCCAAGGGCGTTTCCCACAGGCGGAGCGTGGGGGCCCCCCATCCGCGCGTGATCGGGAGTAGGATGGCTGACTTGAGGCGACTGGGTGGCGCCCGGGAAAGGGATGGGAGTGTTGATCTGGGGCGTAGCCGGACCGACAGCTGCAGGTGGTCTTCCGATTCCACGTCTGCCCGGACCCGGCGATGCGGTAGTCTGGGGGGGCTGAGAGCCGAGACCGTTAGATACGGGGCCGCCGGGACCCGGGGGGTATTGCTGGAAAGGCTGCTGCGACTGAGGTGGCGGCGGAGGCGGGACAGGCAGACCTGGAGGTCCCTGGGCCATCTGATGCTGCGGGCCCATTTGCTGGTCTTGAGGGGGAGGAGGGGGCGGAGGAGGGGCCAGCTGGCCCTGGCCACCACCGGTCATGATACCGTTGAATAGACCGGTGCCGGGGGTGATGGAGGGGGGCTGTTGCGACGGGCCCGCGTGGGGAGGAGGACCGCCGATGCTGGGAGGCGCGTTTCCACGAGCTCCCTCAAGCTGGCGGCGGAGCATGGCGATTTCCTCTTCGTATCTGTTCAAGCCATGTTGTTAGTTTCTTGTGGACGGTCTCGGCTCGCGAATGCTTCCATCGACATACTTTTGCTTGAGATTCATCTGCGCCTGCTCCATTGCGTACACCTTTTCTCTAACAAGCTGCATCTCCTGAACCTGAGCCTGGACTGGACAATTCGTTAGCGTGACTGACGATAGGTGTCGAATGCAATCGTCTTACTCTGGTGTTCATAGCCCTCGGTCTGGCGCATCTGGGTGTCGAACTCGGATCTGATTTGCTCGAGGAGCTCATTGAGTCGGGCCGAGTTGTTGGGGGGCACCGCGCCCATGGCGCGATGCGGATACATGGACATGGCTGCGGTTGGAGTCGACAAGATTATTCTAGTCTGGAAACAAACAATTCGCGCCCGGTGGGGTAATTGGTGTTGATGAAGTTGAAGCGGCGAAGTTTGTCAGGGAAAGTAAAACCGAGAGAAACCGCAATTCGAGCGTCGATGATGAAAAGGATGCGTCGGGTTTGGGTTTGAGGTTGTCGTGGCTCGGAAAATTTAGGTGTTGCGGCTATGGGCCCCCTTCAATCGACTGGATGCACTGAGGCAAGGCGCGATTTGCCTTAGGTAAGGTCTAGGGTAGTTGCGTTGACAGCGGCAGAGCCGTCCAGTCAGAAAGACGCAGATGGTCGCTGCGCGATGCGTGATGCGTCAGGGAATCGGTTGGCGTAAGGGGATGATGGAATAGAAAGGCGTTGGGCTCGCGATTGATGATGTTATGTGCGCGGCGCGCGTGTCGAGTCTGTCACGGCGGAGATGGGGGAAAAGAGAGGAAGGGGAAGAAAAGTTCGGGTTAGGCAAAGCAGGTGGAAGGAGAGAAAGGGACCCGTCCTGAAGAGGCTGGCGAGTGGAACGAGAGGAGACGGTGCAAGGTGCAAGGTGCACAGGCGAAAAAAGAAGACGGATGGGAGCCGCCTGGGGATTTGATCCAAAGGTGGGTCCCATCAGAGGTGAACTGCTCTGTGCCGCCCCCCCCCCCCCTGGCTCCAGGTGCACGCCAAGCTAGAGGTAGACGACCGGGAAGTAGCAGGGTCAGTTGAGATACATGCTCAAGATGCAGAGGTACGGCACTAGGGAACCGTAGGCGGGCGTTGAGGGGTACGAAGCAGGCATCACGGGCGATGGCCATGTAGCGTCAGGTATCGACTGGGACACCACTACAGACGTGGAGTCCAGGTCTGTGCGTTTCTATGTTTTTTGTATCTTTTTTATTTCCATCTTGGTGAGCTGGCTCTAAAGGTGGGTCTCTTTCCATGTGGCGCTTGCTCCCAGCGGGGTGTGCTAGGTTTCAATCTGCCCAGGCTTGGGATATGGTACGTGGGCACCTAGACGGCGGCGACTGAATCGGTTCAGTAGGGCAGGGGGCCTTAGTGTTGACGCTAGCTCTCGGAGCGGGGGCGTGTTACTAGTGGGGCGGTGGGGTGCAGGTGCAGCCCGCACTCCGTACCTCGTGCGTACCTCACTCGCAAACCTTCGTCACCAGCCTCTATTTTGCTCGCCTACCGACACCTTACTTGCGTTTCCCAGTAGCCAAGGCAAGTACTCCGTACTCCGTAAGCAACTCGATATGTTACCCTGAGCTGGCTGGCCAATCCCTTAGATTTGATGTGCCAATCCATGTGCCTGTCTCCATTGGCTTGCCCTGAGATCCTTACTACTCAGTCTGCATCATCAATATCGTGCTGCGTAGACTTCTTGCTTACATGCTTGCCATACGGTGCACTGCGATGTTCATGGATATTGATTTCTACGACAGCGACGAATCCACAGTATCGAGTAAGTCAACTGTCATGGCCTGGTCAGAAGTCGAACGCCGTGTGATGAGCAAGACGATTATAACGATCATGGTTCAGGACGTCACCAATCTTTGCTAAACACTGTGGACGACATATTCGATCGATACCCGTACGCAGATGGTCGTTCCCAGAATTGGAAGCATTACGTTCCGGCGTTGGCATCGGACAATTTTCTTTTGGTCCACTAGTAAAGAACCAACTCGGATCGTGATGGGAGTACGTTGAAGCAGATTCTGTCCGGTAAAGAAAGCCCGCTCGACCGTTTTCCCAAACATCGGCAGAGCTCTGTGCAAACTCGCGGCCCCCAAACTTTCAGACTAGAAGTGCTGTTTCTTCGCACGTACGTCGCTGCGGACGGATGTTACAACCCTGGCGGGAGCAGGCCAAAGACAACCCGTTCATAGCCATGTATCACTGCAATGGTCTTTGTTGCCGGCGCGCTCCCAGATGTGTGTGCAATTGAGACAAGAGACGTTGTGCGGGAAGGGGATTCGCCTGCATGCACTTATTATGGGCAGTAGCCACCAGAAAGAAGCTCTCAGCTTGCAAAACCAACTAACAAGTCCAAAAGCATTATCAGATGTAAGGAAGTGTGAGGGGATGAGATGAGACGGGAAGTGAGGGCGGGCAGGCAAATAGGTGGTCAAGGTATGACAACAGGGTTGGGTATTGCGGAAGAAGACAGTCTGAGGAGTTATCGTGAGATGCAGCGCTGCGGCATGGAGATGCGCAACATGGAGATGCGACCGACGAGGTGGCATCCACGACTGGCATGGCAGTGAGGCACCCACCAAAGCACCAAAGCACAAGCATCCAAGCACCACCCACTAGGCCAGGGCAAGCCGCAACCCACTAGGGGAAGGGGGGTGCAAGAGAGTGTGGATAACATGTAGTACAGGGTTTGAGGGCGTGAAGCTATGAACTGTGGATGGGTGGGCCATGGGTTGTGGTTGCGGGTGCGGGTGCAGATGCAGAATGTTCCATTGAAAGACGTGACGGGTTTCCTAGCTTTGAGGGCGGCTGCTGAGGAGCGAGGCACGACAAGGGTTTAGCAAAAGGGGGTGTGTGCGTGAGAGGGGAAGAGAGAGAGAGAAGGAGGGACAGCAGAAGCAACCTGCTGATAGGGGGGTCAAGGTACGAAATGGAAGTATCCGTGCCGTACTGCGCAGTTCTCCATAGACGATGAGAGGCGTGTGTGGTGGGTGTGATGACTGTGAGTGAGAGGGTTGTGCCCGTGGTGGATCGTCTGGTCTGGTATCCGCAGAGCAAAGATGGAAACGAGGGAGAGTTTGACGACGTCTGAGAACCGGGAGAACCTGCGTCAACCTAGCTAACTTGTTAGCGGCCTAGCGCCTGCGCCTACGCTTGAAGCCTCCCTATTCTCTCCTACATACCTTCCCAGCTTCCTTACAGAGTACCTGTTGTCTGTAGACTGTAGTTCTTATATTAACGCAGTATTCGTATACACGAGCAGACGTCTGTAAACCCGCACCAAAATGCGAATAATCTGTCAGAGTGAACGACAACTGCCTATTCGGGATGCGACAGGTTTTCGGTGAGCCAAGGTGAGGAGACTGCCTCTCACCTAAGGTAGGTGACCTCACCTCATAGCTACACTGTATGAGTAGTTGTAGCCACTGATCCAAGATATCCAACATGAACCGCCCATAAAGGACACTTCCCTCTCATCTCATAGTTGGGGCGGGCAGCGCGGACATGATGAGTGATGAAGCCCCCCGCAGGTAATAAGGTTGGGAGGGCGACCAAGCATGTTGCGTTCTTCGGCCATCCGCCCGCCGTGTCACACACCAAGGATCATGGCTCTTGGCCTGTGCTGTGGCCCATCCCATCCTCCTTTTTCCCATCCATGGAAGCTGTCGAAACGTTCCATGCCCGTCGGGCTAGACTTTGGATGCAGTTGGGTTCTAACTTTTTTCTGACATTTACCAAGGTACACAAGAGAAAGAGGATGCCGAAGGGGAGAAAAGGTGAAAACGATGGCTTTCGGAATAGGTAGACCCGCGCACATTTGGTAGAACATTCGGCGACCCCCCGCGTCTCGGCATCGCCAACACAATGTCATAGAGGCATTCCCGTTGTCGCATGCATGCGCCATGCAATGCCATTATTAGCGCGATTACGGTGGTACTAGACACTTATTCACGCGCGCGCACACACAAAACTCTGGGGACTCTGTTGCAGCTGTTGCGGTAACACAAGTCTTGCCTCATTCCACGCACACTCTTGACGATGGTTTCTTTTTTCGCTTCGTTTTCCTTCCTTCTTCCACTCTTGTACATATTCTGCCCATGACTAGTACGCGCGCAAAATCATTCTGTCGACATTAATATGACTAGATTGATCAAAGTGCAACACACTATCCGTAGACAGTATCAGCAGCCATAACATGCCACGCCACACAGCTGCGGAGGCTGACACAACGGCTTAGGTTGCAGATGAGGACACCTCTCATGTTGCCTTGTCTGAAAGTTGAGAATAGACAAGAAACACACAGTAGATCTCGATGGTCGGGCAGATATCTTCTTGATCAATCCTACACAGTGCTTGCTTACCTATCATATCACCAACACCACCAAACGAAACCAAATGAAGCAGGCACGACAGGCTGCTCTTCCCCAAGTTCCACGTTTGAGCCTAACTGTAACCGGTCATCCCGTTCCGTTAATCTGCATCAATCTTCATTATTCCGAATTGACATATCACGACCAAAGTCTATTCCAGGTAGTTACGTGAGCTGTCGGGGGATGTGCACCTTTTCGGAGTGAAGGGCCAGACCGCTCTTGAGCGTGGCGGAGGCATGAGGGTGAAGGAGGGGTGTGAAGCGCGGTTGGCGATGGCAGCATGATGAGGTGCCCCCCCCCCCCCCCCCCAACATCAGCTGGCGGTCCCGGGACAAACAAGGCGGCAGTTCTGGGTGCCTTAGCGTTGGGGTTCGAAAATCGGAAGGGTAAGGTGAGTTCGGGTAGAATTAGAAAGCCCAAGCCGATTGAGCGGAGATTGGAGAAGATTTCAAGCTGAGGTAAGCAGAAATGGTGGGTCACAGGTGAGGTTCGGTCAAGATCAGGTTCACCGATCGATGTATTACCTTCCTGTCACGCCTGTACCGCCCACCAGTCCTCCATCTCCTCCTATTGCCATTTTTTACTTCCCACATCGCAAGCGTGCCTGCAACTACGTACCAGACAAGCCCATCAGTCAGCATATAGAGGCCGGCGGAGAGTCCAACTTTTTCTCATGTCTTCACTGGATCAAGACCAAGAGCAAGGCACTGCCGATATATCCTCAGTCTGAGGCTCACCGAGCTCACTTCGACAGGATAGCCATAAAGTACGACCCCGGTCACTTCGCCGAAGCGCCGGTGCTCAGTGGCCCACAATCAGCAAACACGCTTCGTTTCAACGTTCAACCGCGATTTTGCAGACGTTCTAGACGCCCTCTGTGACTATACATCTAGCAGCAAGAGTGCTATGATCAGCCTCCGTGTAAGGGTGACCTTACAACAAGCTGTTCCCCATGCCAACATCTCTACTAGACCAATGTTGAGAGCTTGTCACATGGTTGAAAACTCGTCTGTACATACCTAGTACTGCAACGCATCCACAGGATACCTCCGCACGCTCCGCAACGCTCTGTCCAGATCCCGAGAAGACGGCACCAACGGTCTGCCTGAGAACATCGTCAACTCCTCTGACAACATTAACATTGATTTCATTGCGCCTAGCAGCGACCTCTCAATTGCCAGGAATGTCCGCATGATCCGGCCTAGGATATGATGTGGATCTAGACATTTCAGAAGACCCTACTACCGACAACATAGAATCACCCCAGGCTAGCTGGACCCCGAATCACCAACTGGCAACGGCGGTGATGCAGAATTGACCTACAACGGCAATCATGTCGACAGGCTAGGTTCCACCACTGCTACCTGACAAGCACCAAGGAATGGACCCTCAATAAACATTGATGCTGCACTGGTTGGTCGTCTTTACATGTGAAACAAACAAATGGCATACGTAGAGAGATGGCACTAACCAATGTGCCAGACCATCCAGATCTTGCAGCGCAAGTATCGTCAAATCAGACCACCACCCCAACCACAGCGGCGCGATATTAGTGGATGACTTTTCAGGAAACCGAATACGAGTCGGCTGCTTCTGATTCGCCAATGGGTTACGCCAGTGGACTCCCTGGCCTTCCCACCCAACTTGAGCCAAAAGTCCAACATCAGAAACTGGTCAACGCGGGCCTTGGGAAAGCCCATCCCGCTGGATCATGCGATTCCCCAAGTGACGAACTGCCCACTGGGACATTACCTCGGACGACTCTCCAAGGATGCAATGGGCCTGCCTACACCGACTCACCCGAGTTTCGTAGTTGCCCGCCTGCGACTGGAGATGGGTCGGATGGAATTAAAAGAAGGGCCCATCCCGCCCAAGAAAATCTGCTGCCTCTTCGTTGGAAGCTTGTTCGGCATCGACTTACAGCAACACTCGCCATCTTGACACTTTTCTTTGGTCTTTGATTGCCATCTCAGCTGTACCCTGACCCCCAAACTCTAAGATCGGGTACGTGCCAGCGTCGAGGTCCCTCGACAGAAACGTTGACAACCTTGACAACCTAAACCTAAGTGTTCTGGTCCCCTTTTTCTTTGAGCCTCGCTGTTCAACCAACATCAGGCCATTGTCAGAGAAGAAGCCGTTGACTGTCGACGTTGGCTCAGTCTCTCGGCGTCCGTCGTGGCACTTTCTCACTCATCCCCCGCCTCGCAAACGTTGGACAAGCACGAGTTGCAGTCTGCTACAAAGCTCACAGCAATATCCCTGTCCAAGTCTTCTGGTGGAAGCTCTTACCGACGTGAAAGCAAACGCTGCCGATCCCACCCCTTGCTGTATACCCGTCGCTCGGAAGCCAGGCCCATTAAACCGGAGGTAAAGCGCATCTGCCCACCTTCTCATGGCCCCAGGATTTCTATTAAACGTTCGATGAATCCAGGACCCCACCGAATTATCCCGGCCGCGACCTCGATTCGTGCCGTTCCGTTGCGTATACGTGACAGCCGGTCCGTCTTCCCTCCACTGCGATCGCTTTTCTAGACATTACCGCAACAACGCGACTGGTCATCCACCGATTACTCTTCGAATCGATCCATTATGGATGTCGTTCTCGAGGTGGTCGACACCTTTATTGGCGACCAGCTCTACGCCAAACTCCTACCGGCCGGTTCAGCCCCGTACGACTTCCCTCACCACGCCAACGCCACGGCGCAACCGATCTCGACATGGCAGTATAAGCCCTCGACACAGATGCTCTACCTTGAGCCTTCCGAAGCCGCATACATGAGCGCCTGGCCAAGAGATAACATCTTCCGACAGTTCACATCCCTCTTCCTCGTCACATGGTACGTTGCCACTACAGTTCCACCACACCCACCGCATTCTTGACCGGGCTTACCAACACCGCAAATGATGTCAGGTTCTTCGGCATCCTCAACTACTTTGTCTTCGCGACCCTGTCGTATATCTTCATCTTTGATAAGAAGACGTTCAGCCACCCCAAGTTCCTCAAAAACCAGATCCGCCTCGAGATGAAACAGGCCAACATGGCCATGCCCGTCATGGCAATTTGCACCGCGCTCACCTTCGTCGCCGAAGTGCGCGGCTACTGCAAGCTCTACGATACCACCGAGGAGGGCCCCGGCCGCTGGTACGACTACGCCCAGTTCCCACTCTTCATCCTCTTCACCGACCTGTGCATCTACTGGGCTCACCGGTGGCTGCATCTCCCGCTCGTCTACAAGCACCTGCACAAACCTCACCACAAGTGGATCATGCCCTCGCCCTACGCCAGCCACGCATTCCACCCCTTGGATGGCTTCGCGCAGTCGGTCCCTTACCACGTCTACCCGATGCTGTTTCCCCTCAACAAGCTGGCATACGTGGCCCTGTTTGTGTTTATCAACTTTTGGACCATTCTCATTCACGACGGCGAGTATATTACCGACAACCCCATCATCAACGGCTCCGCGTGTCATACCGCCCACCACTTGTACTTCAAGTAAGTTCTGACAACACAAAAGAGAAAGAATTTTCCTGCTTCTAACGAGCCTCGCAGCTACAACTACGGCCAGTTCACCACCCTCTGGGACCGTCTCGGCGGCACCTACCGCAAGCCCGACCTAGCCTGGTTCAATAAAAAGACCAAGATGGCCAAGGAGACGTGGGAATCCAACATGAAGGAGATGGAGGACATCCAAAAAGAGGTCGAGGGCGACGATGACCGCCAGTACGTTGCCGCCGAGGCGAAGAAGACGAACTGAGAGAGCCGGTCCAAAGTGTGCTGGACGCGCTTCAGTATATGACGGCTACGAGTGAACGGCTAAAGAGACCACTTCTTAGACCTTTGTAATACTTGGCTTGTTGCCATACCTTTGACTGTACATATAAGAACCAGCAGTTTCGAATGCTGGGCATAATAAGGATGGGTGGATGATGGAGATATGATGGGAACGAAGCCGACTGGCGGTTCATAGGTGAGAATGGGCCCAGGGTATAATTGCTAGTAGCGCATCTGGACTCTATCAAAGGTCCAAATTGCCAACCCCAAAATGGTATGAGGTTCGAGTGAGAACATGGTGGAAGTAGTCAAAGAGAAATCGGGGCTTGCGTAAATGCTTGAAGAAATGCATTCTACCGACACTAACTCCCGGGTCAAAAGTCGAGTCACAAAGTCAAGAAAGAGGGGCGAAGATCGGGAACAAGAGTGAATATCCATTGAAACTGCATCACGCAAGTTCTACTCCGATAGACGGTACCCAAAAAAAGACGCCGATCCTTACCGGCGCAAAGAAGGCTTTGTCAAGTAGACCCTTAAAAACGTCCACTACCGGGAAACCCAAAAAACATAGAATATGGAGAAAAAAGAAGAGGAAGAAGGGACCGCTGCAACGCCTGATTGCCCCTATGAGTAATGGAATGTCGAGAAGCAAGGGAAGTAAGTCGGAGCCTGTTTCGGCGTGGGATAAGTTTGGTGGCTGTTGGTGGGACCGCTCGAGAATGCTGAGTAGTGCTTTGCACAAGCAAAGCGTTCGGAGGCAGTCCCATGTCGTAATCATGCCCTTCCCTTTCGAACAAGATGGAACGGTAGCCATGGGTGATCCATATCGCAGTCTAGTGCAAATATATGCTGCAAAAGACGTTTCCCGTCTATCCGATTCATGTCGGATATCCCCTTTTCATCTCTCTCTCTCTCTCTCTCTCTCGCTCTCGCTCTCGCTCTCTCTGGTTTGCGCACATCTCGCCTAGCTGAACGTCACGGCCTTGGGATCCAAAGGCCTACCGTCCGGTCCGATACCGTTGGCTTTGAATCGCTGCTCCATGTACACCCTGCGCGCGTCGTCAAACTTCATGCGGCGCTTCTTCATGATCTTGAGGATCTCCTTCTTGCTGCGATCGTCGAGACCCGCGCGGCTGTCGCCGGATTCGACGTTGCCTGCCAAGTCAAAGGTCGAGCTCGAAAGTCCGGCGTCGATGTCACCGGTAAAGGAGGAGGGCAGACGGGAGTAGATGTAGTCGCGGCCGGGGATCGGGAGGTCGGGGACGTGGTGGAGCCAGTGGCCGCGGGTGAAGTAGAGGGCCGTTGCGGTGACGAGAAGGAGGAAGGAGACGGAGTAGAGGAGGTACGACATTTTGGGTGACTTTCGGGTTCGAGGGTGCGCGGTCGAGATGGAATGATGTTTTGGCTGGTTGGCCGATGCGCTGGTGTGGTTACTTCGCGATCGTCGGCTGCCTCGGTGGCTTCGCTCCGAAAAGCTTGTAGAAGTGGTGCTGGTAATTTTGAAATGGAATAGAACGGAAGACAAGGAAACTGAAGAGTGTGGGGAAAAGAAGTCACAGAGAAAGTGGCTGTTTGGCGCAAACGGTCAGGGGACTGCCGTTCGAAAGGATCAAACGATCATGTCGGGGCCTGCAAGGAGAACGGTCGCGTTTGACTCCAGGCAGAGTGAGGTTATGCGGAATGGAAGTGTAAGTGGTGAAGTTCGGCGATCAGCCAGGCGTACCGACCGACGTACGATGATGTGGAGGTGCAGTGGTGCGGGCTGCGTAAGTGCGCTGGACACTAACACCACTCAGGCTCACCCCCCTGGTTGGCCTCTTTTGGGAATGGAAGAGAGCTCTCAGAGACTCAGCGTCGCTGAAGGTGGACTCGGGCTGTCACTGCCCCCCGTATTCCCGTGTGATCCTGCAGCTTTTTGATTTCCATGGGGATCCACTTACTAAGGTCGGCCGGGCATGGAGCATTCGAGGGCGTACGTAAGGCTTGGGCGCAGGGCGCAGGGTACCGACGGCAGGGGCCAGGGCCGCATGGGAGGAGGTCACTACTGATGCCGACGAGCAGAGCTTTGCGTCACGTGAGAGGTCCCACCCCCGCCAGCTGGGTCCCCCTACCCACAGGACCACCTGTGCTATGTACCGAACAGAGACCGCTGAATAATCCAAGAGGGCTGGCTCAGTACTTACACTGCGTCCCTGGTCTTTACCGAAGGTGAGTATATCGAGGATTTGCTGATAACCATAGGCGAGTCACCTTAACTATCTGTGGACATGCTCTTCAATAACACTCTTCGTGGTTGAGACCGGCGCGCAACGAGAAGATGAAAGGCAATTTGCATGACACACGCAACTAACGCTTTTGCATGACAGAGTCCTGGGAGATACCCGAAAGCTCCGACCACTGATGACTTGATAACCCCGGCCTGCTTTTGAGGAGCGAATGTGACCCAGCTTCGACATTTACATCGGAACTATCCGTGAGTGTCGCCGTCAAATTCGATGATAGAGGAGTTGTACCTACGCCGAACATTCTTCCATTGGTTGCTCGTTAAAACCTGAGCGCGGGAAGCCAGCCTTCGAAAAGTACTTGAGCTATTCTGACATGCGTGGGACGGTTCAATTCCTGGAGATAACCAGCGATGTTCGGACATACAGACGCAATTTACCTCTGGGCCGTGTATTTCATAGTAATGATCTGGACACAGCATTATGTCTGCACGATAAATGAATAGGATAACATGACGATGACATAATCCAGACGAGAACCCTTCTTGAAGATGATTTTCTAGATGTAGTAGATCCTGTCTCCCGGCGCGCCACCGACGTTGGGCATATCTTCACCGTCTGACAGCATAGCGATATTGACTAATCAAGAGTGGAACGCCTCTCGAAAGTGCTCAAGTGGCAACACTTCTTGTCACCACTGTCTTTCTCAATGGCTCACGGACAACATGAATATTACCGGCCAACATGTCAAGGTGACTTGGCATTGCGGACATATATAATGGCAATTTCATGTGCCGAGCGAGATGGTGAAGCAGGTCAGAATGCCCACCTTCGTAGTGCCTCTGACAGACGAACACATGTGTTCTGCCCTGTGGAAAGAGACCGATAGATGGGTTGATACTTGATCATCTTACCTTAGATACCATAGAGTTTGCAGCTTAAACTGGCCTCAGCCCTTCATCAAAGTACTAGGCCTATGGTGATGAAGTATTACACCCACAACAGGCTAAACATACACATCCCACAGAAGACCCAGGGTTTTGTTCCCCGGCGGGATATGATTCCACGGCTTGGCATTGGGACAAATTTTACTCGAATTTTAGAATAGCCGCAGTGACATAATATCAAGCCGAATGATTCATATGCATCAAGGTCTTGAACGGTAAACAATGGCTGCACTTGGTATTGAGACGTTGGAAGTCATCAAAGCTTTCTTCAAGAGATGCTTGAATGCTGGGCACCTAGACACTATGGACTTGCATATTTTCTAGAAGCGTGGTAGACTTTTCCACGTCAAACTAAGCATCACGGTCATGTCGTCCTTACATATGTTGGAACAGACGCAAGACTCTACTTTCCGGATCTTGAAAGGACCGGAACAGGAGCATAAGTCTGCCGCATGCTAGTACATTGGAGCCCTAAGTTTGTGCGGTCAAACTGCGTTATTGGCGACAGCGTGTTGAAATATTCCTAGAACATGGAAGTCACTTGAAGAGACCCGGAAAAATGATCGACTTACATGACAAGATCTCTCGTCTCACCAAGCCTACGAGGTTGTGCTTTGAGCCCGCGCTGTCCGGCTCGGGGGTCAATTGCACCGCCATCACCAGCCACATTCAGACCGGCCCGCCGAGGAGGGCTTTTGTGCCCCGGAGGGGAACTCGGTGTGGCGTCGCCGAATGAACAAGTGGGCCCAAGAGGCGCTAGTCCGCAAAGCGACTGCTAAGCGATAGCCCACACATTCAATTCAGGCCATTGAATTCTACGAACACGCAGACCGGCATCAGAGCAATCGTGAAGGTATTCATCAACCATTCCGTGATCCCTCAAATCAGTCAAAATGGCCGCCACTCTGCCCAACGTTTCCGCCGACCTGATCTGGGAGGTCGTCCGTAAGTTTCACCACGGCGCCCTGCTGCCAGCAATGCCGAAAACGGCCTGAATGCGCAATTTGCTCACATCTGGATTTTCCCGATACAGGCGCCCAGAATGCGTTCCTGGTCAACCGCAACGACGCCGGCGGTCTCCAGCTCTCCCGCGACCCCCTTAACCTGGTCAACAAGCACTCCCGCAAGGTATGTTGGGATCGAGTCGTCAGAATACTGGCGGGGTTAAGGGCAACTTTAGCTAATTTGGATCGCAGTACGCCGGATTCGTCAACGACAAGGTACGATTACAATCCAGACCGATCGAACTCGATATTCCTCCCTCGCTCGAACGATGCGATAATCCGCAACACCACGCAGAACAGAGATGACTGACATGTGACGATTAGGCCATCGGTGTTGTCCCCAACGAGAAGGGTGGTGTCAAGGTGATCAGCAAGAACCAGAAGAACTCCAACAAGCCCTCCAAGGGCTACACCGAGGTCACCTACGGCGGCAACAAGTCTTCCCGCAAGTGAGTTTTAGACCACCGCAGCAGCCACCACTGTGTCGTACCGCGACACATTGCACGGGCAAAGCACCAAGGATTCGAGGGAACAGAAGATACTGACGGTTCACCCTAGGACCTACTCCGCCGTTGCCCGCCAGGCTGCCGCCGGCGGCTACCGTGGCGACCTCCGCGAGGCTGCCGTCCAGCGCGTCTCCGCCATCCGCCGCTCCCAGCGCGCCGTCAAGGCCACCCCCGAGAAGAAGCCCCGCGGTGTTAAGGCCAAGGCCGCCGCCGCTGCCGATGTTGAGGCATAAATGTTGAAATGCTGATTTAAGCGGGCGGACTGGACAACAAAAAAGAGAAAGACACAGGGCTTGGTTTGGGCGTTACGTCGAGCAAATAGAGAATACCTTTTTGTGAGGGACACAGGCGAAACAAATCAAAAGCTTGAGTCAAAGGCCACAAAATAATGACTGGGACTGGTTTTTCGTTTTGCTCCAAAAGAGTGTTGTCCTCTCCTCGTTTGATGTCATGCGTGTAAGAGATTCGTGAGGCTCTTGGCCAATGACTTTGCACGGTGAGGATGATGCATGCTGAGTCTACCTTATCTTGTGCCATGACATGCGCCTACACGGGAAGGAAAAGCTCGGAGCGGGAGTGGAGAGATGGTGGTCGAACAGGCCGATGTCGATAGAGCATCTCATCGCAGTAGCCGGACTACGGGTCGTGGTACTGTCGATGCCGTGGTCCTCGGCCATCACCCGGAGTTGCCCGACTAGAACAGAGAGCGAATTCCTGCTGAACCTCGGGAACACGGGCACGAATCGGGATGTCGAGGGTACCGTTCGGCTTTGTCCATAACGTCTTCCTGTTTTACCCTCCGAAGATGCTTGAAGCGGAGCTAGTTTTCGATCATAGAATATGGCCGGAGGATTGATGGATGATGGCAGACGGGGACGCATCTGTGTCTTGCACGGAGTAAGTCTTCGCCGACATTGACCTGATTGAGATACCTGGAATGGCACCTTTGCGCATACATGGCGGGGTAACTTTGCCAGCCGGGGTTGCATAATTGCCCTTAACATGGCATTTCTGAACACATCGGTACGTACTCTTGATATTGTGAGTAATTCGTGCCGCAGTGTAGGTAATTCTTACATTTACATGAGCAGTATCCGTACCTCGTAGAAGCGACGACAGATGAATATGTATTTTTAGTGAGCTGTCTCGCCCGCCCAAACACGAAAGACAGGGTCCGCAGCTAAGGTTGTGCTGAGCTGTCTCATCGCCGAGGATAATCATAGGTATCACAGTATGAAGCCCAGCACGTCACAGGCTTTCCGTAGGAATAACGGGGCGCCGCCTTGCGTTCTTGTTTCTACCGTTCCCGCACCCGAGTTTTGGCTATACATAGGAACAAGCTACCCCTGGAGCTCGGGACGTCGGGACGAGGACGGGGGACCGTTTATCAGCAGGAAAACATCGGAAGGCATTGGTCCAGATGGCCGGGAGTTGACGGGGGAGATTCGAGCTTCCAATACCTAGTCCTCCATTGCCGTATTAGCCTCGTCCGTTTCTCTCTCTCACATGCATCAGACCGGAGGTGAATGGCGAACGAAAGGGGTTGACGGCGGGTGTTGCAATTGGTTGCAGGACGTGGGTGGCAGGGGATTGGCGCATTCATGCTAGGAGGTGGGTGAGCAAGCACTGGTTGGAAGCACCTAAGAAGGTACCTATGAAATGTATCTTTATCTTTCCTTCAGCGACTGCTTCCACGGGCTGGGCGTGTCTCAGTGGCTGCCTTTGTTTGGGTCGAATGACGAGGTATCTGCGACAGCTATTCCCTGGTGCGGCAAGCCGAAAGGTACCTTGCACTTGCTTCTGTCTTTGTTCTCTCTGCAGCTCTCCGATTCCCGAGACAGCAGCAGCAACAGGGCCAGAGAGCAAGCAGCGAAGCAGCAACTGGTCCGGCTAATAAAGCACCGCAACCGCGCAAGTATTAGCTACAGGATCGGGCTTGCTGGATGCAGCGGCGCAGCACCTGAGGTACACTACCGTAACTACACCCGCAGTGCTGCTGTCAAGTCGCGGGCTCTTTCGCTGTCGGTTCGCTTTTCTGCGCATCACTGGCGCCTTCTGCCGCTACCACCTCACCTCACCTCGAGGACTGAGGAGCGGGCAAGAGCTACAATGGAAACTTGAACCCCCCGTGCCTGCCTCAGGAGCCCCCCATGGTCCCCTTCTCACCCCTCCAAGTTGCCCCTCTTTTTGACCCCTCCATCCAATGACACGGGCAAAGTCCCACGGGACGAGGGGTGGGAAACCAAAGGTCGCAATTCTCCCCGCGGTTGAACCTACGTCCCCGCCGACAGCCTCCGGACTAGGTATCAGCTGGCTCAGACTACTTCTACATTACCTTGGCTCGGTTTGCTCTCCTCTCTCTCTCCTCTCTTGTTCTCCCCTTTCATACTAAAACAAACAACTTCCCGCTCTTGAATTCCCATTCTCATCCGTTTTCCTTCTTGCAAGCAAAACCCTCCAGTTAACCTGACTAGTGTACGTTTGACGATGGCCTCTCCCCTCCCCTCCTTGACAAGCTGCGGAAGCTCCCCACACTTGGCCTCGTACCATGCGCCAGAGCTCAACGTGTTAAGCGAGCAAGCTTCAAGATCACCCCGCTAATCCGCGAGAACCCTTCAGGCCTCCCTCCTCCTTCATCCATCTTCTCTCCCAAACCGAATTACAAGAAATCACATTCAAAATGGTCAAGGCCGGTATGCTTCCGCCACCCGAGATTATCGCGCAGGGCTTCGTCAATCTAACTATTTCTCAGTTGTTGCTGGCGCCTCTGGCGGTATTGGACAGGTACAGTGAAGCCGGAACCCCGCGTGGTCAGCAAATAACGTGCGCATTGGCTTACCATCCATCTTTCTACTCTAGCCTCTGTCCCTCCTCCTCAAGCTCTCTCCCCTCGTCGATGAGCTTGCCCTGTACGATGTCGTCAACACCCCCGGCGTCGCCACCGATCTCTCTCACATCTCTTCCAATGCGGTACGTTGCATCGCAGTCTCAATTGCCTCGTGATACCCGTAGTATTGCTTGCTAAACAAAGTTACCGCAAACAGAAGATCGCTGGCTACCTGCCCAAGGATGATGGCGCCAAGGCCGCCTTCAAGGATGCCGATATCATCGTCATTCCTGCCGGTATTCCCCGTGAGTTACAACCACGGAGCCTCGTCCGCTGCTTTCTTCTAACGGCAAATCCACTCTAGGCAAGCCTGGCATGACCCGCGACGATCTCTTCAATATTAATGCCGGTATCGTCAAGGGTCTCATCGAGGTTGCGGCCGAGGTCGCCCCCAAGGCGTTCATCCTCGTCATCTCCAACCCCGTCAACTCCACCGTCCCCATTTCCGCCGAGGTTCTGAAGGCCAAGGGTGTCTTCAACCCTCAGCGTCTGTTCGGTGTCACCACCCTCGACATCGTCAGAGCCGAGACCTTCGTTGCCGAGATCTCCGGCAAGGCCACCAGCGAGCTCAACGTTCCCGTTATTGGCGGCCACTCCGGCGAGACCATTGTTCCCCTCTTCAGCAAGGTCAAGCCCTCCGTGTCCATCGCCGACGACAAGTACGATGCTCTCGTCAACCGTGTCCAGTTCGGTGGTGACGAGGTCGTCAAGGCCAAGGACGGCGCTGGTTCCGCCACTCTCTCCATGGCCTACGCTGGCTACAGGTACAAAAGGGACCTCCTATGAGTCAAAGTTTGGGACTGACAGATGATAGATTCGCCGAGAAGGTTCTCAAGGCCCTCAAGGGCGAGAAGGGTCTCGTTGAGCCTAGCTACGTCTACCTCCCCGGTGTTCCCGGCGGTAAGGAGATTGCCGAGAAGACTGGTGTTGACTTCTTCTCTGTTCCCATCGAGCTTGGCGTAAGTTGCGCAGCATCGCATCCTGCCCCTTTTCCAAAACCAAACGGACTCACACTGACATGTTCGCAGCCCAACGGTGCCGAAAAGGCCATCGATATCCTTGGCGACATCACAGAGAAGGAGCAAGAGCTGCTGAAGGCTGCGGTTGCGGGATTGAAGGGCAACATTCAGAAGGGTGTCGAGTTCGCCCACAAGGCCCCCCAAAAGTGATTTCCCCCCTTTGTACACTTGTTTTCAGTAACAGCCCCCGACCCCCTCTCGAGGAAGCCGCATGACAGCTTCCAACAATGTAGCCAAAATGGTGATAGATGAAATACAACCGAGGGAGAATTATGGCTGATCGACTCTTCTTTTTCCTAGGCTGTGAGGTGTTGTTGGTCTCGCAAGTGTATAGTTGACCAGCGTATAACACCAGTTGAGATCTCTTGAGTCCGCGGTACGTAGGGCAATGGCGTCGGTAATTTTGGATATGGCGATAATTGCTGCTGGTTTATAATTGGAGTTAGACACCGTGAGCATCAACTCGAATGACCAGATCTTTGGTCAACATTCTGCAAAAGTCTAAATCTTTCATCGCTTGCATGCTGTGAACAGACACTTCCATCTGCTATTCTGCCATGCGCCGTTGGTTTTGGACAGGGGCAACTCGTGATATGTGAAGCTGGGTTTTATGAGCTCGACGGCAGTGTTTTGATTTGGAAAATAGCTGCCGGTAGCTCGTTGGTCTCGGCTTGGACGGTAGCGTTGATACCTAACGCTGCCAGTGCTCCGCGCACAATGCCGCATGGGAACCAAAGGAACTGTAGTAAGACAAGTCAGCCTCAGCCAAGTTGTCGAATTGGTAGATGGGCGTAAGCTCGAACGTACCGGCTGTGCCCGAACAACCGCCTGTCCGCCAGCTTCTGTGCTCATCCTCGAGAATGGTTTGAACGAGTTATCCGTTAACACGTAGACGCCCTATTCCAATGCGCCGGGTTAGCAAGCCAATTATTTCGCTCGCCTGGAGTGTCGCCCTCGACCAGAATTTCCAGTAGGTAGGGGGATGTTCGCCGACGTACCCTGTGATTCGTCTTGAGGTTGTCAATCTGCTTCCTAAACACAAGCGACCACAGATCCTTGCAGACAAACTTGATCACGTCGAGCGTATCGTTGAAACGCGGCCGGTCTCTCGAGAACCTAAACACCAAGTCCATAGACTGTCAGCGTCCAATCATTGTAAAACCCCAATATTGTGTCTTCTTCCCCCCCTTTGCCGTCACCAAAGACGGCCGCGGAGAGAAGGAGGAGGAGACGAAGGAAACATACCTCTCAACAAGCCCCTGCCCAACACGATAGCCCAGCGTCTCAAGCCGATAAAACACCGCGTCCCGCTCCTCATCCTCGTCAAGCTTCCTGACTGTGCTCCCGCCCGCGGCCCCGTCGGCGCTCGACGGCGCAGGACCCCCGTCTGCTCCCCCGCCCTGGCTATGGCTCACGGTCGATAGCGCATCGGCCGAAGCGCCTCCTACCGCGGCACCAGACCCAGTCCCATTCGCATCAGTCGGCGCGGCTTCGAGGTCCCTCGTCACGCGGAAGGCCATGGGCACGAGCTCGATGAGGAGAAAGTCTAGGCAGGAGGAGTTGAGGAAGGAGGCCGACGGGTCCGTGGCGTTGTACGGCGGCATGACGCTTTCGAAGGACATGGCTCTTGCTGCGGAGGTTCTGTTCGTAATAAGGAGAGTGGGGAGGGAATAGCTAGCTTGCTTCCTGGCTTCGTCGAGGAAGGGGGTTCGCGCAGTTGTTGCTTTTCGTGAGGTGCGATTCGTTTGACTTGTCTAGAAACCGAATGCGATGAAAGCTTGTCGTTACTCCAAGGGAGTCGAGTTTGGACGACAAAAATTGTAAAATTCGGCTCGGCGTGGAAGCAATGGTGCTTGTAGAGAATCACAGGAATAGCTGTGGACTTTGTGTCGTTGAGCTTGATGTGCGGTTCAAGGTAGGTAGGTAGCTGGGGATGGATAGACGAACGTAAGGTAGGCGCTACATACCTTACCTGAGGTAAAGAGTGAGGCCGGGTACGTACCTGCTTTGACAATGTTGTGGAGCTGGCCTCTAAGCTCTCCAGGGTCCACTCAGCAGAGCTTCAATCCCCCCTCGACAGGGATTACAGTAGGCAACTTGAACGATACGCTGTTACGCAGTCACAGCTAGTCATTGGGGGGGGGTGCTAGAAGACATGGACGAAGCAGAGAGTTTTCAGAGTGGAAGTCATCTTGTTGTGCGGATGCGATATCCGCAGCGTAGTGATTGGTATTTGTTCCCATGCTTTCCTAAGGTACCTAGCTGGCAAAGTCTCTGGGGCATCTCATCTACCTTACCATCTAAGTAAAGCTTTGTTCAGACGCTCAATGTCGCCCTGCTTCATGCCTTTGAATAAGGCTGTTGGGGCTATTGGAATATGTTTTGCCTCCTTAACGCCTGGACAGCTATCCATCCGTCCCTTCCCATGCCGAAACGGAAAAAAAAAACGCATACATGAGCCTCAAATCCGCCTTCATTAGGTACCTAGGGAGATATGTACGTGCTGACTGAGGCGACTAACCTCATGCGCCGTATCTCGCAGCTCGTTGTCAGGAAGTGCTAAAGCAGTCTCTTCAGAACATGCTACTGCTGTAACCATTGCTGTTGTAGTTACTCGATCCCGGGTCCTGTAACTGCTGCCGCTTCGGAGGCGGTGCGGCTGGCTCATCATCGTCTGATAGGGTCAGGTCTATTGTCACCCTATCCGAATGCAGTCTCTTGGCACTCGTCGTGGCGACACCCCGCGGCATCGTCGAGCTTTCTCGGGACATCACCGTTGTCGTCGGGGTTGCCGTGCTGGCGACTGACCGGTTGGGGGTTTCGAAGTTCCGACTGCGAACGGGGTTGACCTCCACGATACCCCAATCGTCGTCATCATCATCGTCGTCGTCAACTACGCCGCTTCCACCATTGGTAGGTCTATTCTCATCCTGTCCTGTGTTTACTCGCCATTGCCCGTCTGGCTCAATGGTAACTTGGTCAAGGGACTTTGATGTGTTTGCTAGGATGTCTCTGACGTATCTTTGACGACTGTTAGCTAGAAGTCGTGGGGGCGAAACGTGGGACCTACTCGTCGACGGCCAGCTGTGCGTACGGGGCCGGTTTGTTGCAAATCGGGCACAACCACTGAGGGCCCTGCTCTTGCAATTGAAGGTACGACGTTGCATCGAAACACTGGATGTGTGAACAGTTTACAGAGCGGCAAGGGACATCGAGACGCATGTAGGACAGAGGACACTTGAGAGACAGTACTTGGGATGTCGTGACGATGTCTGTGTCTGCCGCTTTCTTGCTGACTGAAAGATTTTAGTCCGCTGTTGATAGTCTTGAAATGAATCGACGAAACTTACTCTCCTCAATCACCTTGTTTTTGGGGATCTTCTGCCCCTTTTTGATATTCTTAGCCAGATCCTGCGCTGAGGTGATTCGACAGACGTTGAGGACAAGATAGAATTTCTGCAGACAAACTGAGTGTCAGCGAAAAGGAACGGAACAAAAAATTCGGACTGGCAAGTTTGAGGCAACCCACCTTTTGAGTCAACGCATAAGTGAACTCAACGAGATTTCTGTTGTCATTTTTCAGACGCAAGTAACTCGTAATGTCGACCGGCCTCGTCGATCCTGGCTTGTTCTTCAAGCCTCTGAGATTCGCTTTGACCTCGTTGCCATTGATCTTGATCTCCGACTGATGAGGAAACGCGATTTCTTGGACGCCACTATTGTCTCCGGCGCAAAAGACCATGATGCGCAGTGACTTGTCCTCGAGAACTCTGTTGATCTGGGGATGTTCGCTGACTTTGACTGGAATCGAGACCATGTTCCTATGCTGGCTCATAGCTGATTGGGAAATTAGCAACGGCTAAGATGAGGAACGAATGGCGACCTACCGTCGCATAAGCGTACATCACCGACCCGGAACTGGATCTCGTAAAAAGGACTGTTCTTGAAAGAAAGTCCACTGCTTGATCCGTAACCGGGCAGAGCGGGACCAGTCGCACCGCCGGGACGGGCGCTACGGCCCCAATATTGGTCTTGCCGCATCATTGAGACTGGCGGAGTTGCTGTGGCAGGGCGCCCACCCTTCTGAGAGGCGGGTGAAGCGGAGGAGCCGGTTCGTGTGGTCTCGATGCTTCGTTGTATTTGCTGGAAGCGAGTCGCGTCGCTGTTCTTGAAGGCTTCTTCGATAGCTGAGAGACGAGAGATATTAGCCTTGGGTGGTTCTGAGAAGCAATCCTGCCGCATAGGGCAATACTTAGACATAACAGTGACCGTGGGATAGAAAAATTCAAGGAAGTAGAGCGCAAGGAGAAGAAGAAGAGGGAAAGTACTCACCACTGACGATGCGACTTTGCAGAGCCGCCTTAACGCCGCTGCTAGTGAGCCCGTTGAGCTGGCAGATTTGGGATAATTGGCGGTTGAGTAGCTGGTTGCTGTTCACCAGCTTGACCAGAGCCTGGAGCTCATGCCTCTGAATGGAGGTCATGGTTCTCGGGCGAGGTGGAAGGGTTGTGGTGGTGTCTTCGGTGACAGCCTCATGAAGGTTCGCAGGTGCGACGTCGGATCGACTTGGGTCGCTGGTACCTAGAGACGACGCCGACAGGCCGTAGGTGTATGTGGCGGATACTCTTTTACGTCAAGGTCTCGTCGGCCGAGGAATGGGTGAAAAACAAAGAAGAGAAGAAGAACGACGGGCTTCAAATGGAAAGAATAATCATGGGCGCGACCACACGAGGCAGGAGCGATGAGGCTCGTGGTGCGCGCCGACAGGCAAGAGCCAAAAGTGCGTGGGGAAGTTGCAGTCGGGTTGGTCGAGGAAGGCAAGGGCAGGGTAGGTAGGTAGCTCTGTGCTGGCTGAGTAGTGGTGGTGGTGCTGTGCTGCCTTTTCCGTCCTTTTTTTTTCCTTCCTTTCCCACTCTCTGTTTTGCGACCAGAGAGAGCAAGAGTGGGAGATATGTTCCCCACTGCGACAATAACGAGAATAGCGACCTTGATGTGCGTGAAATATTGCGCTTGTCTTCCGGTACAAGCTTTATTGCATCGAGTAGAAGGATGGATGGTACATCGGCACCCAAGGCAAGAGCAACGGCATCAGTCGAGCGTTGTGATGAAGTGAGGTCAAACTAGGTCGCGGGCTATGTATTGGGTCGGCAAAAGTTTGATGTCATTCTCTGTTGGGGCTCTGCGAAGAGTCACTGAACGGCTAAGAGTCCACCACAGCTGAATGGCTTGCGAGTGCAGCGGTAATCAACCCTTACTTTGGGTGTGGGCCTAGACCAAGGCAAGTGAAGCGTGAAGGCGAAGGTGAACGGCTGGGGTGAAATTGATATTGGCCGAGAAGAGGCAGGAAATGGTGGCCGTCGACTCTGTAGTCTTCGGGGGTTTGTAGTTGAGGTGTACTGTCAGAGCCTGAACCGATCACTTTCTTGTGGGTGGTCCACCGTTGTTTCAGCATCTGCGTTCCCTAAGAAGCGGACAACGCAGGTGAGAAACGAAAATACCTGGGCCATCGTGGAAACCACTACCAGCCAGAGCCGCCTTCCAGGAGTTTGGACGAATGTGGGGGTGCCAATAGCCGGCAGTCCCCGCGACGGCCCATTGACTGAGGTGAGGTGAAGTGGTCTGGCCCATGTGAGACCCAAGGATTGCTGCCGTCCAAATCAGCGCTGCGACCTGCCTACGGAGTACCCTTCCTGAGTGGACGACTAGATTGGGAGGCGGGGCACGGCTGCGACCACCTGTGTAAAATTTCCTACCACTACTCAGTGAAGACCGTTCGCTTTCACAAGGTCACTTTCACCCACTCGAATCTTCTACGTTTCTCAGTAATCCAAGGCATATCCAGGTTGTTTCTCACCCAGCCTGCTACTATTTCCTTGCCTGTATATACGCAGCGAGTCGCCGCCTGAAATCCTTCAATACACCACACCACCGGCACATATCCGCAGCAATGGCCAAGAGCGCGAGAGCCAGCGTTATCAAGAAGAACAACCAGAGACTCAAGGCAAATGTCTTTGGTCCCGTTGAGCAGGCCAGAGCCGAGCGTCTCTCGGCGAAGCTGCTAGAATTGGCAAAGGCCCCCAAGCCTGAGAGAGAGGCAGACACCAAGATGGACGTTGAGGAGCAGGACGACGATGGTGAGTTCCCCCAACCAGCCAATGCAAGGCCGTTCCATGAGCCAAGAAAGTGTCGAAACTGACCTTTATATAGCGGAAATCAACGGCGATGATGAGAAGAAGGAGGCTAAGGCGGATGACACCTGTAAGCTAACTTCATACAATACTCTCTGCGACTCACGAAAACTGACTCTCTCCACAGCCATGGACGTTGACTCGGCGAAACCCAAGCGTCGTTCCGGAAGAATTCAGAAGCAAAGGAAGAAGACTTCCAAGGTCGTCTTCCCCAAGTACAGCGACCGTCGCGGAGGTTCCAAGGGCGGCGTTTCCAAGAGAAAGTAAAGGCTTATGTACTTCACTGTTGTTTCCCCTCGCTTCTTCCAGTATCATGGGCGAAGAGTCGCGCTCATGGACGAAAAGCCTAAGTGCGGTCGCGCAGAGAGTCTCGTGATGAGGGACTCATTCCTGGCCATATCCAATTCCTTTTCCGGCGTTCTTGTGAATAGTGGGAGACTAAAATTTTCATCGGTTATTTTGGGGGGTCATTTCACATTTTTCACCCCATTGAGAGAGTACGTTGGAGAAGCGGTCAAAAAGTTGATAGACCTATAGACATGGCACTGGGCATAGCCATGTATTTGCCAGACGAATAATGAAAAACTCACTGTCAACTCCCAATTTCTCCACGTTAAAGACTTTCTGAAAGTATTTCCTTCATTGATTCTCAATCCTGCGTCGGGTGAAGCGGAAGAATACCTCTTGCTCGTAACGGGCCGGGGTCTCTCTGCTCGGACTCTCCTACTATGTATGTTCTCGACCAATCACCGCCCGGGCGCGACTCCCTCCAGTTCGGTACATGTCATCCCTGTGCCAGAGCTGTTACAGTGTCCTCTCAGCTCCCGAGGTCCTGTCATGTCCATCATACCTACCGATGTACCAGGGTAATTAGCTAGCTATCCGTACATACAGAGTGCCTAAGGTCGATACCTTGCCATCCCTACGGATACCTTACGGATACCATTTAGCTATATGCTCCGCCTGCTGGACATTCACTTTACCTATTTGGGTTCTAAACGACTGGATCCCGAGAACCTTGACGGAACTGCCACCGTTGCCTGCGCATTGGCGACTTCACCCGTCTTCCAACTCACCGTGGCTTGCGCGCCGTTCATCCCTTGTCGCATCATGACCGGATAAGCCAACTGCTTTCTGAACGTGATGACTCTGTTCTCAAGCCATCAAAACCCCCGACAGCATCAATTACACACCAAAAGTAAACGTGGCCTTCTTATTGCGATCCTGCGGCCTACCGTCATCTTGATGGATACGCGACGAACATGTCTTTTCGGTACGGCCCGGGCTTCCTGGCAACTCTTCTCACAATCGCCAACATCTTGATTCCACTGGCGGTTTTCACTTTTGCTACCGGCTTCTTTCCGTATAAGCCGGTTCTGCCAGGTTTGGCCCAGTATGAAGCTCTCGAATATGGCCCGCCGCCACCGGCACCATTCGACCGCCTCATCTTCATGGTAGTCGATGCGTTACGAAGGTGAATGCCGCTCATTATACCACTGATGTTTCAACAATGCTGACAAAATCACAGCGATTTCGTGTACTTGGACGGTTCCGGCTTCACATATACTCAAGAGTACGCCGACGAGCACCATATCGTTTTACTCCCACCGTGTTAATCATGTTATAGACTCATCCGCGATGGCGCCGCCCTGCCTTTCACTGCCTACGCGCGGTCACCAACCGTCACCATGCCCAGAATCAAAGCCATCACCACTGGCTCGATCCCTTCTTTCCTGGACGTCATCTTGAACCTGGACGAGGCGGATTCGTCCTCGACTCTCGCTGCTCAAGACACCTGGCTTGCCCAGATGAAAGCCAAGGAGACCGGGAAAATGCTCATGTACGGCGATGACACATGGCTGAAGCTCTTCCCGGGCACTTTTGATCGTGCTGATGGTACCGCGAGCTTCTTCGTAGCAGTATGTCTTCATATTCTATCCTTCCTGTCCTTTGACTGACTGTTCCAAGGACTTCACCGAGGTGGACAATAATGTCACCAGGCACATAGATAACGAACTGAAGAATGACGACTGGAGCACGTTAATCCTGCACTATCTCGGCCTCGATCACATCGGGCATAAATCAGGACCGCGAAGGTAAAATCTGTTTTGGATTGCCCTCCAAGTCCCCCTTGCTAACTATAGTCAGCTCGCACATGGTACCGAAACAACACGAGATGGATGGTATCGTGAAACGCATATACAACGCCATGGAATCACGAGAACACATGTCTTCCACATTGATGGTTCTCTGCGGAGATCACGGCATGAATGACGCCGGCAATCACGGAGCTTCTTCCCCTGGAGAGACCTCCCCGGCCCTCGTTTTCATCTCCCCCAAACTAAAAACATTGCACCGAAACCTCCAGGCCCCTGTCCCGTTCCGAGAGGACTTTTCTTACTACACCAAGATTGAGCAGTCGGATCTGGCACCCACCCTTGGCGCTCTGCTGGGCTTCCCGGTGCCGCAAAACAACCTCGGCGCCTTCATCTCCGACTTTCTCCCGTTCTGGCCCAATAGTGAGTTTGTGTGGCTCCCAACTTCGATTGTGCTGTTACTCACACTTGGTAGAAAATGATCAGATTCAATTACTGGTCCGTAATGCTCGACAGATATTGAATATTGTGACGGCAACTTTTGGCTCCGAGATGTTTGACTTGGGGTCTACCTCTGACCAAAAAACTTGCTCAAACCCTCGAGATGATGCCCAAGAGCTAGCTTGTGAATGGCATCGTGTCAACGATGCACTCAAAACCATGGATGACGAGGCAGAGTTAGATCCAGCCTGGCGTGAAGCTATGTCCAAGGTACGTGAACACTCTGACTTTGGTGTATTAAATCATGGATATGTGTTGACGTTGAACAGTGGCTGAGCAGAGCTCAAGACCTGATGAGCAGCATGGCCAGCAACTACGATATGGGAAGGCTACACGTTGGCGAAGCAGTCGTCGTTCTCGTTACCGGCTCGCTCATCATCGGTGCTCGACTAAGTCTCTTGCCGCTGCTGGCTATCTCAGTCACATACGGCATCATGATGTTCGCGAGTAGCTACGTAGAAGAAGAACACCATTTCTGGTACTGGGCCACGTCCGCCTGGCTGGGCGTTATGGGTATCATGAAGATGCAGTCGTGAGTGCCAAGCACACTTCTAGCCTATGAATAATAAAACTGACATCAGCTACAGCACCCGGTCACCATTTGGAACACTCGTATCTCTCTTTATCGCCCTGACAGCAACTAGACTGATCCGGGGATGGAATCAGACAGGCCAGAAGCACGCCGGCGAGCCCGATATTGCCAAGACCTTCATCGTCACAAGCCCGCTCGTCCTCTGGACTCTTGTCAGCGTAACCTACCTCTTCCTCTTTGCACAAATCCTCAGAAAGCTCCGCGGTCTTCCCCGCGCTGCCGTGACAACTACGTCAGCCATATTGATCCTCTCCGCCTTCACCTTCAAGCTCGCCTTCACCAACGAAGACGCCCCCGAGCTCGTGACCCGGCCCCTGGCAATCCTAAACACTCTCACCCAAGGCATCTCCCTCGTCACCCGAGCCCGCGTTGTCTTCGCCGGCATCGGCGCAACAGCCCTCTACTCATCCTACCTTGCCCTCTCCAGCCCAAAGACCGAAGCGCGACACACCTCCCCGCTCTTCCACCACCTCATCACTCTCCTCCTCGCAACACAATCCCGCGTCACAAACATCCCCCTCCTCCTCCTCTTTACCCTTCAATTACCCCTCCTCGCCTCCCTCGACCTCTCCCTGCCCCTCCTATCCACAACCTCCCTCCTCCTCCAATACGCCTCCTTCTTCGCCTTTGGCGGCACAAACGCAATCTCATCCGTCGACCTCTCAAGCGCCTACAACGGCGTGGCGGGCTTCAACGTCGTCGCCGTCGGCGCCCTGACCTTCGTGAGCAACTGGGTCGGCCCCATCTATTGGGCCTCCGCAACGAACCTACTCCTCCTGCAGTACCGCGGCCGCAGGACCGGGACCGACAAAGGCAGACATGTGTTTTTGCGACATGTAGGACACATGACCTTGTTCACGGCGTGCAGCGTCGCGTTCATCATGGTGGCTTGCGAGGCGCTGCGGACGCACCTCTTTGTCTGGACGGTGTTCTCGCCCAAATATTTGTACTGCATGGCCTGGACCATCGGGCAGCATCTCCTCGTCAACGTCGTGTTTGCCGGTTTATTGTACCGGCTTGGATCGGCTTGATGGACGAAGCTTTCACCACTGTCTGCTACCTGAAGTAGCAGGCTTGTAATAGTACGCAGGATATCGGGGGAAAAATAAGAGCAAAGACATTCTCAATCCTGCAAGCAGTTTCATCATTACTAGTACATAGATCATAAATTCTTGTAGAGAGAACCGTTCCGCAATGCTCCCGAGACCCGGAGATAGGTATCTGTCAAGCCAAAAACATACCACCCGAATTCAAAGAACCCATCCCATTCATTGCCCTGATCCTCACGCGCCTTCTTCATCAGACAGTAGCTCGCTCACAATAGAGTCACCGTCACCCTGCCGCGTATTCTGGATCACGGTATCATCGCTATTCTCGTCTTCCTCCTTGATGTCAGGCTCCAACGTGACAGTCTTGTCCTCATCGGCGTCGTGCAGCCTCGAGGAGGCGACAGAACCGGCGACAGACGGCGCGACGGAGTCGGCACGTGACGCGGCGACGGAGACGCTCCTGCTCATGCGACGCGGCTCGCCGTCCTGCTGCTCGCCGAGGTTGGCGACGATCTTGCCCAGGCTGACGTGGATCTTGTTGAGGGCGTTGCGGCCCGTAGTGTCGGTGACGAGTTTGTCGTTGACGGCGATGGTGATCTCGTCGTAGACTTCCCTGATCTTTTCTTCGGTGCTCGTAGGCGAAATGTACAGCTTTCCGAGGAGAGGTGCGACCACCTTCTTCTCTTCCTCTGAGAATGTGTGTTAGCACCGATAGCCTCAATGTGGGTAGGTGAGAATAGAACAACTTACTGCTCAAGTTTCCGCCCAAGCGGTCCAGAATGTCCAGGGCGAACTCCAGGTGAATGTCGCCATTGACAGTCTTCTTCTCCAAGTCGAGCCCAGTCGCAGGGTTGAAGCACTTGCGAGGATCCGTCCAATCCACTAGGCAAGCACCAATAGTCGTCAGACTCTCCATCTCCTCGTTGACATCGGCGTCATCGTCCTCCAAGTTCTCACGGACGTTCAGCAACGCATGCAGGGCGTCCAGAGCGACGGTGCGCATGAGATCTTGGTTCTCCGCCCGGGAGTAGCAGAACACGGGCAGGAAGTAGTTGAGAGCCTGTCTGACACTCTGGTTGGAAGCAGTGACGGGGTCGAAGTACTGAACAACCAGCGTCTTGAGCATTTCCGCCGAAGCTTCTGGGTCAGTGACGACACGTCCTAGAAGCAGCTTGGAAACCGCCAGGGTGGCGGCAGCCTGGACCTCGGGTGATCTGATTCCCGACTTGAGAGCCTTGATGTAGATCTTGAGCAAAGCTGGTGTTGAGCTCAATAGTTGAGAGCCGTGGACGTTGAGGATGTCGGTGAGAATCTGCAACGCGGTGATCTGGAGGGCAGTGTGACCCTTGGTAAAGAAGTGCATAAAGAGCGTCAAGTTCTCCTCGGCCAGTGACCTGTCGAGCAGGGAGCAGAGACCCAAGCAGACGAGACCCCTCTCGCGGACGGGTGCCTCGTGACTTCGCACAGCTGGGACGACAAGATTGTTAAGCATGGACACCAGGTGGTCGTTCTGCTGCAGGTCGCCGGCGACATTTGACAACATGCACTGCACAATGTGCAGGCACTTCATGTTGATCATGATTTCCTTGACCGCCTTCGCCCTGGCTTCTTCTTCACTGAGCTCGGGGCTCTTGTTTCGGCTCCCACTTCTTGTAGGCGTGATGTCACCACTGACCTCTGACCTCGCCGAGTGAAAGCTATCATCGGTGCGGTCATCGGGCGCTGGGTCGTCGACGATAGTATCGTGAACATCGGCAACGGCCTCCAATACCACCGAGCAGAACTCCTTCTCGCCAGCGTTGTCCGGAGCACAAATGTCTCGGAGAACGCTAATTGTAAGCTTAGTTACGTCGTCAGGAAGCTCAGGGACTGATAGGGATTGGCGGAGGAGAGCAAACATCTTGCGACGGCCAACCTCATCGGAATAGTCAAGAGTGATGGCGATGTGGAGCATCTGCTCGACAATGAACTCTTGCTCTACCGTGTCCTCTTCTTCGTCCTCTTCGCTATCTGCCTGAGAGACCCTCTTAATGGCCTCAATCAAGACGCCGAGGTATCTTTCGAGATAGAACGCGAGCGTAGTCACTTCAGGTAGTTTCTCCTCAACTAGAGACTCGTACTTGCCGTTGCCCTCGGTTCGGCAGAAGTCGTTGAAACTGCGAGCCGTGAAGACAGACTCTGCAGAAAGCGTCTCCCAAAAGTTCTTATCAAATGTGACGGCTTCTCTGTAATCGGGTCTGCCTTCCCAGAATCCCTTCATCGCCTCGAGGGCAACACCATTCTCAACGCCAGAGTTCACGACATCGATACGCTCCAGGAGCTCGTGAAGGCCATCAAAGTTTGGCGGCGCAGGTTCCGCAGGCGGTGCCCCCTCCTCGGGCGGCGGGACACCAGCGCAGTCCTCGATCCAACGTTCGCGGAAGAGTCTTCCCGCCGACTTGCGGACATTTTCGTCTCTGTCGCGGAGGCCCCATCTGAGGAGCTTCTCTCTCATCGAGAGCGAGAGATGTCGGAAATCCCCGAGGGCGGGTAGCAGTCGCGAGTACACCGCTCTGCGAGTCAGAGCATCCTGATCTCTAGCCCGTTCCAGCAAGTATGGCAAAGTGGCTGGGAGAATGGGCAAATTGACGAGAAGTGACCTTCTCACATCGGCGCTTGGGTCGTTCTGTATAACTTCAAGCAGCTTCTCGAGGAGGCCGCTAGCCTCGTCATCCTCGCTACCGTCCTCATTCGCGGCAGCGTCAACCTGGTTGCCAGCCAAACGTCCCAAGCCCAGGACCGCCTGTGCACGAACCATTGCCTCCTTGTCACGGATACGCTTAAGAAGCCCATGGCGGAGTTTTTGGAAGAGGTCGTCGTCGATTGCGTCGAGGGAGTTGATGATGTGGGAAATCAACTGGGTGGATCTGTATCGGACAAACTTGTCCTTGGCCGTCATCAGGGGCAAGATCGTGCTCATGAGATAACTGGTGAGTCTGGTGCTGGGGGTCTCGGGCATGATGCTAGCTTCCTCATCGACCTCTCCAAGAATCTCGTTGTCTTTGTCGTTCGCATGTCGTAGGAAGAATCCGACAAACCGAATCGTCTTCTCTCCAACACTCTCTGCCTTCTTGATAGGCATGACTCTCAGGACACATCGAACGAACTCGGAGTTGAAGGCTTCCTCGTCAAAGTCGTTTGCTGCCGTTTTCTTCACGCTGGTCGGTTCGTATGCGCAAGCTTCTTGGATCTTGCGCAATGTGACAACCAACTTGCGGTGCGATGCTGTGTTTCTTTGCGCATCGCGGAATACAGCGCATACTTGGCCGCGAAGCTCACTGTCCGGTCTTTCGGTCGGGATATCTGCGGCGATTGATGAGGAGCGGGATGCTGTTGAAGCTCGGGAGCCAAGGGTCGCTGCGGATGATTTGTGCGACACTGCCGCTGAGGTCCTCGTGGACCTAGTCGATACTCGTGCCGGCATATTGAGGTTTATCGTCGTGTATTGTCGTTGTATGGCGGCGGATCGGTCGAGACCGCGTGAAACACGGGGAACTTTGTCGTTGTTAATGAAGCCAAAAAATGATATGTTTGTTGATTAGTCTGGATGATGGATGACAGGCGCCCCGTTCGCGAATTAGCTGCCAACGCACACAATTACAGTGGGTGACTGACCCCCCGGCGCGTTTTTGTTTTTATCCAGTCTGCAACGGGCAAGTCAATAGACTTCCGAAAGAGGTATAGCGCGGGGTCGATCAGCTTCATCCCCGCTTCCCGACTCCAAGTGCCCGCACGTGGTGATAAGCCCAGAAAAAAAATCCTTATCGAAGATTTTAGCAGCAGCGAATTGCCAGCCATTTCCTAAGCAGAATAAGGTACCAAGTCTCTCCACAACCTCCTACGACAGTCGAGGTTTTCAGCTTGAACTTGTCTCATTCATTTTTAGAACTCAATAGTAAACATTGCGGTGTATTCCGGAGTTTACTACGCAACATGTCGTCTCCTGGAAAGCCGTTGAAGCGGTCACGAGCGGAGGAAGACGAGCACGATGCCCTCGTCGCAGCTGCCGTCGCAGAGAACATCGCTGCAGACGCTGTATCCGAACCGAAAGCCAAGAAGGCCCGCACAGAAGCCAATCGCTCTCTCTTCGTTCGCTCTCTACCTGCGACCGCCACCAGCGAATCCCTCACCGATTTCTTCTCCGAACATTTCCCTGTCAAGCATGCGACCGTTGTTCTCGACAAGGCCACCAAGGCTTCTCGAGGCTATGGCTTCGTTACCTTGACGGATGCCGAAGATGCTACGGAGGCCAAGAAGAAGCTCAACAACATTCTCTGGGAGGGACGCCGCATCAAGGTCGATGTTGCCGAAGCCAGAACTCGTGACTCTAAAGAGAGTGCCGTCGGCGCGGCCGCATCTAGCGCAAAGCAGAAGCGTGCGGACGACCTTGAGGAATCCAGGAAAGCCCCAAAGTTGATCATTCGAAACCTTCCTTGGTCTATCAAGTCGTCTGCGCAACTGGGTGCTCTTTTCCGCGCTTACGGAATTGTCAAGTTTGCCGATCTTCCCCAGAACAAGGGCAAGCTCAAAGGATTTGGTTTCGTTACCCTTCGCGGCAAGAGGAATGCCGAGAAGGCTTTGGAGATGAACGGAAAGACCATTGACGGAAGAACCATTGCCGTTGATTGGGCTGTGGGCAAGGACGAGTGGGAAAAGGCCAACGGCGCTAGGGAAGAGGAAAGAGACCCAAAGAAGAAGAAGCAGAAGGAGGAGGAGGATAATGACGAGGAGGAGCCAGCTGAAGATGAAAATCCCGGCAAGGAACTTACTGGAGCCGACGCAGACCTGGAGAACTTCATGAAGAACCACATCATGAATCTCGAGGACGAGGAGGATGAAGACGAAGACGAGGACGAGGATGAGGATGAAGAGCTGTCCGATGGAGAGGACAGCGAAGACGAGGAAGAGAAGAAGCCCGTCAAGAAGGCGCCAACATCAACCGA